TGTGGGTGTGGTGGTTTGTGGGGGGGTGTGTGGTTGTTGGTGGTGGGTGGGGGGGGGGGGGTGATGTTCAGAAAGAGCTCTATCAAAAAGGAAATAGTTATAACCTTAATAACAAAAAGCCAAATACCAGAAAGTTTTTTTACCGTGATCTAATCCTTTTAGCACGCTTGACATGTCTTTGCAAAAGTTCTTTCGGAGATAAATGCTCAACAGATTCCCCAGCCTGCAAGCAAGTAAACAAAAAGAATAACTTGTTCAATTCTATAATTGAACAATTGCCATCTCTAACTACCCAACTACATTGAACAAGTAGGTACATCTCTACAGACAACATTCCAATCAAGGACATGTGAATCCTAACACATAATAGCTGACCAGAAAATTAGAAATGACAAAGCAATGAACTTGAGATACGGTTAAGGCAACACCCAGAATTATTATTTTTTGAAAGAGATCAATGCCTTTTGTGGTCATGCTGAGAGGAAAAATTCAGATCAAATTTGAAACAACTGAACTTGCTTAACCATAAAACATAAATATTATGTTAGATACAAATAAATTAATAAGGAGATGCAACAAAATTAATAAGGAGCTCATGTGGAATGTAGTAGAATTTCTGAAGTCTTAAAACTTCACGAGAGGAGATACAAATGGATAAAGTCTCTTGGGATCCAACATCTCACCCATTCCTTAATTGATTGAGCTGCTCACATTCAAAGAAAACTTCCAACCTTCGATGAAAAAAAATTATATCATGCACACCAAACAATCCACTGGGAAGCCTATACAGCTCAGGCATGGGTCCAAACCACGTTTAGTAGCTGGAATTCAAACCTGAGATCTTCAGACTGTTACGACCATGCCTTAACCACTAGGTCATCCTCTAGTGGTGGAAGACATTCCTTTGATGAAAGTTAATAGCCAATAAAGGAACTCAAGGACTTCAACATAACATGAAACATACCATACTTCCTTACTTGGCAATTCAAAACATTGGAGAGTATTCAAAAGATTGCTTGGGGAAAAAATACTCCTCAGAAGCAAAATATTGCATTCAACTTGGAACAATAAAAAAAATGTTCATATGCATATAACACTTGATTATGTACAATTTTTTGTGATGTGGTGAATTTTATTTTATTTATACAAACCTTTCCATAATATGAAAGTTCAAAACCTTATTTTACCTTAAAGTTGATAGGGATGGGAAAATTCACCCTTTTCAGTATAAGCATAGATGAAAAACTGCAGTCCTACAATGAGATGGATGGTAAAGTAAAAAGTTCTAGAAAGTGCACTATGGCATAGTACAAGTCATTAATCTTATACTAGACATCAATAACAGTCTGGTATGCTCAATGATCAGCAAAGAGTAAATATGGTCAGTACTCCAGATTCTATGAAGTAAAAGATCCTGCCCCGCTTATGATTAAGTTTAACACAAACATAAACCATGATTTACTAGTAAAATGAGTTATACTTCAATTCCCCTTGCCCCGTAGCAATCATTCCCCATGTACTTAAGATTACAAGACAAACAACAATGGCTAAATTATTTCCAAGCATCTAATCATTCTGGTACAGGAATCACATTCAAACTCACTCACTAAGTAGATAAACGCAAGTGCTCACCTCTTCCTCTTCTTCTTTATCTCCCTCCTTTTTTACAGGAGATTCAGCATCTTGTGGAGCTAGTGCCAAGGGTCTAGGAAGAGATCTTACCCCATCCATGTATTGGGACTGCCAACGAAATGTGAAGCAAATTAACATAAAAAGGAATAAATGCTATTTAAAAATAGAAAGTATTTCTTGCAAAATTTCAAAAACCACATTAAGAAACTCATCCAGCACCACAGTTGCATCATTTTTTCAAGAAGATTAAAATTATTAAGACAACAAATGCAAGACCAGAGAGGAGAATCAGCAATAGAGAAGCAAGACAGAATCATGATCTGAACTGGTTTGAGATCATAATCGGTTTCAATTTCATCAAATGCCCTCCCCTCTACCCTCTATAATTCATAAGACTACCTTTTCCTCAAAATACTACTTCAAATAAAAAAGAAAAGAGAAAGGAACAAAAACAACTATTATCCTTAGTTAAGAACTTAAAAGGAATGAGATTTGGCTGCAACTACTTGAATCAGTACTAGATTTGAAGAGCTGTGAGAGAGAACCATGATCCAAAGCTGGTTTTGAACATTCAGATCAGGTCAAAAATCAAGTAATATAACTTGAAATTATGTAGCTATACTATCTAAGCAGCATCAGGTAAATGTTTAAATTTTAATGAGAAATCTTTTAAGAGCTCTGCCCTCTGGTATCCAAATAAACTCATTCAATTTTGAACATCTTATAAATTCTAAAGTTGCTAATACTTCCCTCAGTACTCTAGCATTGACATGTTTCTCTTCAAACCTAATACTAATTTCACAATAATGTAAGGGAACTTACATTTTTCTCCGACATTGTCACAATAACAACACGCTAAGGTGACGAACTCTCAAGTAAAATCACAGCCGAAAGCGATGGAATTAAACTGCAAATCTCGAAATGCATATGTTGGAAAAATAAGAAGTAATAATTCTTAATTAACAATTCCATAGAGGGGTTCGTTATGTTTCCAAGTATAGTTAGATCTTCAATGTTTTGTCATCTTGGAAGATGAGCAGTAGACTGGTTTTTTCTCTATGATTGTTATATTTCGGAAAGGGAAGTTTTCGTCCTTGGCATTCTATAGAATATATTAGGTAACATCACTTGAGGTAATCTATAGTAGGGTTGGCAAAATTAACCCATGAAAACTTGGCCCACCCAATCCGTCCAAGTTTGGGCTGGTCATTGACCTGCCCATTTATTAGCTCAGTCTATCAAAACAAATTGGGTTGATATGTGTGGCCCAAGTTGACCTATGAGAAATCTTATCAAAATAAGATATTTTTGTTTGCATGTTATAATAATAATAATAATATATATATATATATACACAAAATAACTGACAGTATCTGTCCACCAAACTCAGTTATTTTGTATATGAACTGAGCTTTTACAAGCCAGAAACCTTAAGTCACTCAAGATACTGTCAAAAGAAAATTAATATTTCAAAAAGAAAGCACTAGAGCAACAAATAACGAATTTCTAGTTGAGCAAACCTGAGTGTCATCTGGAAGCCCATTCCTCAACCATGAACGACAGAGGGTGTAGAGAGAAGCATTATCAGAAATTCGGACCTACATCAGAAAACAAAGGTAATTATCATGCAGTAAGAACATGTTTCTACAGAAAATATAGGGGAAGCAAGGAAAGCACCTATACCAAAGCTAAGCAGTGAAATGTTAAAATGAGGTTCATGCTAAACCACAAAGACCCCAGTTTGCAGAAGAATTAATCAAAATTGCTTCACAGATTGAATGCTCACCAACAAAGAAGAAATTGGGGAAAACTGATAAGAGAACCTAATGTTCTGTCAAGTCAAGGAAGTAGATGCTTTTTTTCTACTTGCGGTTAAGTTATACATAATTCATCTCAAGCAAACATCAACTTAATATAGAAGGGTGCACACTCTCGGGCAGATCTTATATACATTGTAAGAATGTGATCACCAGACATAAATAATAATCTCACCTCACCAGTAATGGGCTGTAAATCAAGAAAATAGATGAGTAGTGTCACATTACATCTTAAATTCTCTTGCCATAGCCCTTTGACAATAATACCACATAAGACAATGAAAAACCACCACTGAGACAAATCAGAGAAATTTAAAATTGTAGTTACACATTTCCAAGTGAACAAAGTTTCTTATAGTTTCATTGTAAGGTACATTACATATCACACGCACAAAAAAAGAAGTTTTAAAGTTTGTTGGAGTGAAAGAACCAATTGCACAATCAATCAACTACCTTCTATCCCAAACTAGTTGAGTTTGGTAACCAATACCACAAATGCTTAAAGATAACCTATTCAGTGCCTAATTTCCAATACTAACATTATTTACAACTGAATTATACCTGTGCTGGATTGCAAAGGTGAGTGAAATTTAAAAGGGTGTCAAAACAATGTCATCTATCAGGATTCAGGGCCTTCTCCATAAAAACTTTGATTTGGTAGCTAGAGAAAATATTATCTACACAACTTCATGAAATATTAGTGACAAAATAGTTAACAGATATGTCATACTCCAACATGTTTTTCTTTTCTGCTTATTTTTTAGGGGAGGAAATGATTTAAATGACTTCCATCTGTCAAAATGAGGATCATATCAGGTATGATCAATAAAACATGCAGTATTTCACAAATCAAACTAAACAGCAAAATAGGCACTTACCTTTCTGTCTCTGATTATAGCAAATGTGTCATCCTTGCTTCTGTCCCTACCGCAAGCAAAATATAGAGCACTAAGAATTTTCATATTAAACATATAAGGGAAACAGGAAAACTATGTAAAACATATATTACCTCTTCTCTCTGAAACCATTACAATCTGAAAGGGAAGGCTGAGTAGAAGCAATCTGGAACACAGAAATGTAGCAAGCAGGATCAGGATACAAAGAAGGTAACAAAATTGTGAGAAAAGATAAAATAGATCTATGGAACACACTAAAAGAACGTAATTTCTCATTTGAAATTGCAGCACTGCATTACTGAGAATCTGAGATAGGTCATTCAAGTAAATCTGCAGAACAATACTGCCACAAAGCATGAAAACAGTAAAAACAAGCTGGGGGAACACAAGGATTAAAGGGCTGTTTGGATTAGATAACAGACAAAAACAGCAAGAGAATAGTCTGTTAACAGAAAATAAACCAAGTTATTTCTGAAAACAAGAAAATTCTCTTCTCAATACTTGCAAGCCTAGTCTGGGGGTTTATGAGCGAACCCTTTTCTATTCCCCTCTGCTTCCTTGTACTGATTATAGGAATCGAGCCTCAAATTTTGGGAGGTTAAGTTGAAATTGTGTTTTTCCTTCACCCTACATTTATTTAAATTCCAAAACACATGTAATTGTAACTAAAGAAGTTTAGCCGTTTAAAGAATATTTAAGAGTCTCCATATGTAAGGCACATCAAATATTTTAAAGATTTCTTTCCAAGAGACAAAGCCAACACCAATCTTCTGAAATCAGATTCAGACACTTGTATTTGTTTCTCAAGTAGAAACGAAAAGGCAAAATATTTTGATTTCCAAAAAGGAAACAAAAACCAAAGGTTCTCAAATCAAGACACTAATTAAGGTAGGATGCATGCTATTCTTCCAAACCAATGCAAACACAGTCCACTTGACAAAATTAATTTTAAGAAATTCTCAAGCCACTTGCAAATTGGTCCCACATAGTTCAGTATAGCGAAGAATCCCCAGAGTTAACCACTTTTGGTAATCAGCACATATACATATATCCTCAGAACTTTTTGTGTCAATAATAACACATTTCTTCTTTCCCCACTGTCTTGGTTGCTGCTTGCTCCCTTCTTTTTTTGGGATCCAAGGGAATCTATTGAAAGATCAATTTGACCGAGAAAATGAGATTTGACAAGATTCATGGGTATATATATGGGAGACAGAACGTAAGAATAAGAATGAAAAAAATTGTGGCCGTGCTAGGTTGAGACTCATGAGTAGCCTTCATTCCTCTTCTCTCTCTTTCTTATTTATTGGAAAAGGGCCAAAAATGCCCCTAGACTATCGAAAAAGATCTAATTATACCCTTCATCCACCTATTTTGCTGAAAATACCCTTTGATTACCTTTTTGGCTCACTTATACATTTATGACTAATGGTCAACGCTGAATTAAAAAAAGCTTATTTAAATTCTGTGGAATTTTATTATTGATCCAATTTTAAACTCTAACCCCAACTAAATAAATCAACCCACACAATTTTCTGACTTACTCAACCCAAACACTAACCCACACGAAAAAATGTGAAATTTCACCGTAAAAATCATTCTCAACCATTCTGCATACCCTCCCCAGACTCCAACTGAGAATGATGTTGTTGTTGTTATTGAAACATGATAAAATACTTCTAGCTAATTTTGGGGATTTACTTCCCCACTTCAGCTAATCAAAGGATTACTCTAAATAGCTTCTATGAGACACCGTCTCGTCATAGACAAGAAAACAATACTCCCCCATCCCAATTTAAGTGTTTTCCTTTCCTTTTTGGCCTGTCCCAAAAAGAATGTCTCAATCTATATTTAGTAAGCTTTCCAATTCCGGCATTCTACATGGTAAGTTTAAGACCACAAGTTTTAAAGGACTACACACATATTTGATTTAAGACCACAAGATTTAAAGGACTTCACACATCTTTAATTTAAGATCACAAGATTCAAAAGACTCCTTTGGTTTCTTAAACTTCGTCCAAGTCAAACTAAGACACTTAAATTGGAACGGATGGAGTAGCATTTTTGGAACCAAATTAATACATAGTCTTAATATGAATATTCAACAAATTACTCAATTAAACTATTTTTAACAGTGATGTGGGCCGTATACACCTTGATTAATCCATCGGACAACCCGTTACATACCACAAGAAGACATGCCGAGTTATCCTACCCACCAAGGTTGGAGCAGATGTACTTACATTGAATGTTGTAGTTGGGGTTTGAACTTGGATCCCCGGATTGTAATTCATATACTCAACTACTTAATCATCCCCTTGAGAATAAATGAATTTGATGTGTATTGTTTAATTTTTGTGGATAAATTATCTCTAAACTGTAAAGTACATCGATTTCACAATTTTTAAGTAATTTGTATTCGAAGTATACATTTTTTAAGGAGTTGTGTTTGCATAGTTAATTGTGGCCTTAAATTTTGGATTCTGACCTTGAGAGTATCTCTCTAAAAAAAATTAACTTCAGGAGTTAGCATTGGGCTTGGGCCAGTTCTGGCCATTTTGACCTGTGGGCTGAAGTTTGAAATGCAAGGGACCAGCTCCAACCCCCCATGGCAGGGAAAACACCAGCCCATGAGATTCATAAGTTAATACAGGGTTCATGCCTCCATTAAAGGGCTATGGCAAGGTGGTTTATCGCCTAGGGTCAGCCCACTTGCCAGGTTAGCCACAACCTTACTGACACACCTCATTGAAGAAGCCTGAAGCTGGCTTTAAAATTCCAATAAGCTTGACAAGGTTATCAAAAAGGTACAGCCTATGGATTACGAACTACAACTCCTTTCAAGCTCATGATACACCAAGGATTCCTCGTTTCTCAACTAGGAAGGTGGCTTCCGCAGATCCCCCTTCATCAACCCCCCTTGGTGGCTGCACATGGTCCCCTTCGATGTAATCAGTAGCCATGATAAACATGAGGATGGTTCAGAGAAGAAAAACTTAAGTGCACAATGGGCAAATCTGGCAAGATGTTGGGTTTATCGGATCCAAATTCCTGATTCCAAAATATAAGGGTCAAGCATTTTTATAGGCAGGATGAGTGATAGCGTGTGAAAGTTCTACTTTAAGCTCCCGTGGTTGACCTAAACATTGGAACTGGTTTAGTAGTTAAAAGTCGTGTTTCCTTACATGAAGTCCCCCAAGATCAGTTAGTTGCAACCAGCCACCTGAGTGATATCACCTCCCTATGAGCACATTGTAATTTCCTAAAGATGCACTAGTTCAAGAATGATCACGAATGGAGAACTTGTTACTCTACTATTTCAAATATTTCCCTTTTTTCCTTGTTTCTTTCCTCTGTTTTTTCCTTCTTCTTTTGATTGCTTTCATAAATGCAACATGGTACTATTTGATGGCAGCAAAGAATACATGGTCAATTTACTTCTTTTTTTAAAATTGAGTGGCTTTTGTCATCAAAAAAAATAAATTGAGTGGCTTTCATAAGTAAGAGTGAATCACTGAACAAAAGCACCAATAGGGAAGAAACAAGTTACAATGACCCACCTGGGAATTCGCAAAACTCAAACCTATCATATAAGGAACGCTTGATAATCCACCCAAAATGAGGTTATTAATGATTTTGTAGATAGATTAGAGGTAGACAAATTGTATAGGATAGCTCAGAGGAGTAGGAGTTTTTTTGCAGAAATTCATGTGTAACTAGAGCTCTGTCAGAGACTTAATTCTTTCAACACCCTCCCTAAAAGAAGCTTGTTAATTGGTAATTTACTATGGTTGCCAAATTTTTTTTATCTAATAACATGCGAATTCAACCATCAATTATCAAGATAATTAAAGTGAGTATTAAAAGAATTACAAAAACCTTGTGATGCGAAGAACTGACAACTGGAAATCCCTTAACCGCACCAGGCAAGACACCAGCCGAAGCCGCAGGACCAGCAGAATTGACAGTAGGAGACGATCCAAGAAGAGCGTGTTGCAAATGACTCGGTCTAACACCCGTAGACTGACCCAAACCCGGATCCATCTGATTCAGCCCAAAAGTTGGTCTAGACCCGAGGTGGCTAACAACTGGGCGATTCGGGTAATTACTAGGTTTGGACAAAAACCCGCGGCCGGAGGAAGCAACTGGGTAGAGAATGCTGTGAAGATGAGGTTGTGAGTCGGGATTAGGAGGTTTTAGGACTAATTGAGAGTAACTGGGATTGGATGAGGGCGGTAGGCGCTGGGTAGATGGGAAGTGAGAAGATTGGAGGGAAAAAGGGGGATGTGGTTGTGGGGTGGGTGGTCTTACAGGGTTAGAGAAAATTGGTCTTGTGGGTATACCGGTTGTTATAGCTGCATCGGTTGTGGTGATGGTGGTGTTGGCGGCGGCGGTGGGCGGAGGATCCGGCGGAGCTGGTGGGGTAGAAAGTGCCATGCTTTGGTGTTGGCGGGGAAAACTTTTGGGTATTTTTATTAGGGGGAGAGAGAGAGATTACTTACAATTTGATTTTGAATTGAAAGTCTTTATCACTTTGAAATATGGCAACGGTGCGGAAAAAGTTACACTTATGACTTTGAGGTCAATACGACACCGTTTTGTATGATCCATATAATTGCATTTTGCACTTCAAGTCCCTTATAATTTTTGTTGAAGTCATTTTTACCTCCTAGACTAGAGTATGTATTTGGACTCGATTAAGCCTTGTATTGATTCTAAAAAAAAAACTAATTTGATGTATGTGATTTATAGGATTGGATTAATTCAAATTCACTTTTTGGAGTGGAGGTATAAGCTTAAATGAATTTATTTGTTTTTGCTTTTGCTGAATATCATAAATGTATTAGAAAATATTGAGTTGTTAATCTAATAATTAAAAAATTATTTTTCAAAAGGTTCGAAAGAAAAGTAAGACTGTAATGTTAAAATGAAAATATTCAAGAAAGGAAAGTACTAATAGTACAAATATTAAGGGTAACTGAAGTAAAAGAAATAATAGTAGTAATAAAATTGATGCATAAAATAATGCTAGCATACTAGTAATAATGTTGATAACGAAACAGACAACAAATTCAGTTTAGGACCTTATTCTACCACTTTACTACCGACTAGCAATCTACTCTAATCTCGTCCTTCATGTTTTTCCTATCTAGGGTCATGTCCAGGGTGATTTACATTTATGTCACTTTTTGTTGAATTACCTCCACCCAATTCTCTTTCGATATATTTTTACCTTTCCTCAAACCTATCATCATCAACCTCTTATACCTCCCCACTAGGATATTTGTACTCGTCTTTTACACATGTTCAAATCATCACAATCTCACTTCTCACATTTTATCTATTTGGCGATTACTCCCGCCTTGTCTTGTATATATTCGTTATTGGTCTTTTCTCTTCTAGAATGCATGCACATCCGTCTGGGCCATCCTCATTATTGTTATCTTTATTTTTTAGACATATGAATTCTTGACTAACCAACGCTTCACCCAGTACAACATAATCAGTCTAACAACGATGATACTTTCTTATCATATGAAGTAGAACACATGAGGCGAACCTCTATATCATTCACCGCCTCCAATACGATGTGTGTCGATCTCTTCATTCCCCTTATTTCCTGGATTATAAACTCAAGATATGTATGATGTGTATATTTATTTGTTAATTTGTATAATAACTTAATTGTCTATTTATATACATTCAACGTAAAATGATACAAATATCTGTTGAAACCAAGTTAAATGACACATTATGTGTAGTTTCTATTTGTACTATTTTTCATAAAAATAAAATGAAATCGTCCTTTTAAAAAAAAAGGAGTAAATCAAGCAATAGTAGATATTTTAACCAACAAATGAAATTATTATATTCTTCTGTCCCAATTGCCAATGCAAACACGCCCTGAAATTTTACATGAAAAAGGACTCGAATAAACGGAGAGGAGAAGGCAAAGTCGATTCTTTGCCACTTTGCTCATCTCTGTGTCAACGCCATTATGATCTTCGTAGCTGGAGCTCCTTTAAGTACAGATTCGTCTTCTTCATGTTCCCAGGTATTGTCATCCTCCTCCTTTTTAAAAAAAATTCAAATCCAACTTCAGGTTCAACCTCAATCTTAATTAAGGGCTGAACTGCACCCACATAATGCATATGGTACAACTAATCCCTTTTATACCCTAGATAACGTGCCTTCTGCAATATATATGATCGATTTGTAGTAATGATGTTGCAGTCTAATCATAAAGACTCCACCTTTTGATTGGGTTAAATTTGTTCATCTGCGCTAAGTTGATAGGTTAGTATTTTTGAAATTCTTTCGGCCTTAGAATTATCTGAAGAATTGATGTGGTTAAATAGAGAGAAAATGATACAAAGTAGTAACAATTTTTTATTTTTTTTTAAGGGAAAAATGTATTTTAAAGGTATATATGTGTCACATTACTACTTAAAATGATGAAATATTTATGATGTACACGTAGACACATATATACCTTTAAAATACACTATTAAATAGTACAGGGTAAAAGGTCCTTTCCAAAGTTTGGTATCGTAACAACAATTTCGACCGACCCTTTTCCCTTTTCTTTATGAAGAAAAGTAGTAACGAACTTTATTAATGCTTGGGCAAAGAATACCCCTATACAAGATGTGTACCAAAAGCAGAAAACCTTAAAAAAGTTATGGACTTTGTACTGTTTTCTTGATCTGTACATTGGACCAAAGAGGGACTGCTTGGTTTGGACTGTAACATCTGACTTTGTCAGATTTTTTGTTCTAAACTTCTAGTTTGTTTGATCAGTTTCATCAGTTGCAATCACTGTTTGGTTATTGTGCAAAAAACTGTTGTAGTGATTCTTGAGCTAATTTCTTCTTACTTGTGAAAAAGACTGATAAATTGATAATCTTATAGATAATCTGGATGAAAATAGTCATAGGCAATTTTGACCTACCAAAGGAAAAACATTGGCAAATTTATAATCCGATCAAATAGTCGGAAGAGTGGTAGGCAGATTATTTATCACAGGCAAATATTTTTAGAGTTGCATAACTGATGAACCCCTTACCAATTATAATTGATTAAAAGCATTTGAGGAGGTGTCTTTGAATGACTCCTATTGACCATTCAGATTAGTTGCAGATGGAGTCTTTGTCATATTGAATCCTGAAATCTCACTGCATACTTTTCTCTGCATTACAAGGGATACAAAGTCTTCTTTTTTGTTTCTATCTAGCTACTTAATAAGAACATCTGATATGAACAGGGACATGACATCCTGACGGATTTGATGAAGCATCCTGTTCTGGTATCTGCATCGTCTTCACTTAATGATGTTGCAGAAAGGAAATTCTCTGTCTCTAAAGATTCTAGTTCTGGTATATCAAGACATAATAGATGGGTTTACATTTTCCAGAGAGAATATGCAACGGTGGATCCTGCACTTGTCGATGTATGTTCATGCTTTCTTTAATAATCCTACTGAAATGACATCTGACCTTGTTCCCCACCATTCTTCCAATTTGCACTTCTTCTTTCTTCTGTCATAGTTCTAGACTTGCAGTTGCATGAGAGTCAATTTAAAGTAGTTTTTCTAGTCTCATCTGTCTTTATCACCCACTTCTTGTGCCACAAATCATAATATGTCTGATTTCTGCATAATACCTAATCTGTCTAATAGTTAGAGGAGATGTTTCCTATAACTATCATGTTAGCACTATAAAATTCGGCAAAGGCCGTGACTTAGACATTTTTTGGAAGGCTGTGACTATCTAATGTGCCCATTGCTGCATGAGAAAAAAATAATCTATGCTTGGAAAAAGAAAAGTAGTAGACCATAAATTAGTTGTAATAGTTGAGAGTGTAATTGCCTCGAGGGAAATCAATGCATTTTGATGGTTAGGTTGGATATTATGCGAAAGGGAAATTGAGTCCTCAATCTGCCTGATTGTAAAATGCACTATGTTATTCTATACCGTGCACCTTGCAGATATTCTTAGACTGAAACTTGGTAGGTGCAAAATGTTTAGAATAATGGTTGTCATTTCTATCTTGGAACTGAAGTGTCCGTTATGTTTACGGTTAGCTGATTCAAGTGTTTTGTGTTAGGACTTGTTGTTTTCCTTTTCAAGTATGTGGACTCTCTTCTACACACTTTCCTGATCCTTTGTGATTGAAGCATCTTTGTACCCAATACTGTGAGTTTGTAGCTATAAAGATTCATCTCCATTGTTGGTATGCTTCTGTCCAACCTCTTTTTGCTGGCCATTCTGTGCTCCATCCTTATTCTTATCATTTTCAAAACCTCTTTTTTATCATCTTGACATACTTGTCATCTCGTGATGATATTCTAAAGATTTTCTCTTGTCATAATTAAGAGTTTTGTCAAGTTATTCTTCTTTTAGTTAGCATTTCTTTCGACTTTTATAGCAGAAGTTAGAGGGATATGATTGATGGTGGGTCATGTGGTTTCTCTTGAATGTATTCCTCCTTCAGTTCGCTCCATAGGTTATTTATGTAAAAACAATTCTAAGTCACTGAGAGTGGTTGCCGTTTCTGTTTGTATTTATGTTGGAGCAAATCTTTTGACCACTCCATTTCTCACACAATGCTGATCTACTACAGTACCTAAAAGATTGTTAGCAAGTTTTTCAAAATTATCCACTCTTTTCTGCTGTTCTAAAAGATCTCCTATGTTCTTGAACATAGGTGGTTGGGACGGATGAGGCAACAACTTGCGTAGGCCTTGTCATAAGGAACCAAAACAGTGGAATGTAAGAGGAGCTATTTAGACAAAAAGACATCACTAATTTGCATTCAGGTGTTCAAGTCTAACTATTGTGATTGTGACTTCGCTACAGGACATCTGTTGCTCACTTGGATTCACCAGATGTTGTTGATATTGGCCTGGCCCAGATGCTGGCTTTTGTTGTCAATCAAAGCTCTGATGCCATGTTGGATGTATTCTTCTCTAATCCTTTATGTCAAACAACATTAGTAACTAGCTTCTTTTTTGTTCTCTATTTTTTTTTACTGTGGATGCCGACATTGAAAGTGTATAATATGCAGGTTCATCTAATTGGTGGTTTTGATGATGCCTCGCCTGAAGTCAGGCCAAGATCCTTCTTATTCTTTGATTTTCACAGAGATAGTGAGTCATTTAGAGGCTAGATAATGAAGCTGAATCTGTTGGACTTCTTGTGCAGAATGTTAATGGTATTACAGAAAGTCACGGAAAGTTGGAGGGCTATTCCTTTCCTTTGTGTAAGAAAATAGTTGACAGCCTGGCAAAGAGTAATATGAAGTTCCAGATTCACACACTCCATGTTCTTGGGCATAATACAAGACGAGATACTGAAGGAAATGCATACCCCATCTTCACTGGTTTCCTGGTAAGCTGTATTTTGTATTTCACATTAGTTTATACCGTTGATTATTACAGAACAAGGGAGGGAAAACTTAGTGGTAAAAGTCCTCCCTCCAATCTTAAGGTTTAGGGTTTGAATCAATAATGATGAAAAGTGGAAAGGACTGTCGCTATTTG